GGGAAACCCTAAATGTTTGAGCACCCTCTATGAAACGTCAAGCTACCCCACAGCACCCCCAAAATAGAATCTCTGGCGCTGCCACTGAGCCTGACTATTTGTGTTGGGGGGGGCCCGACTTTATTTTTCTCCAAAGGGGGGGCCTGACAGAAAAAGTTTGAGAACCACTGCTTTAGGCTCAGTTGTGTTAATTCTACACAAGACGGCCCTCACGCTGAAATACATTTGAGATGCAATCTGGTTCAACTGTCATATCGTTTTGTCATAAAATAAAATGTACACAGAATACACTGATTCTGTGCTTTACATGCATTTATATTTCTCAACCCATACAGTAGACGGCTGATGTGCCTGCAGTTGGATATTTTAACAAGCTAGCAGTTTAAACTGTCCTTTTTTAAATTAAATTGTGAGTATTAGGACTGATTTGAGACACTTTTCCCAGTAATCCATCCAAACCCCTCGTCTCCTCATGCCAACTATCTTAAAATGGATTAAATGACTGTGAAAATACAGAGAGTTTAAACTCAGGGCAAAATTACTCATTTACAGCTCCGCATTATCCACCTAAAATTAAACCGAGGGCAAAGGGGAATCAAGTACATGAACAAACAAAGAGGAATATCTTGGCAGGATGAACCATTTAGATTTCAGACAGCTCACCTCAGGCCACTTCTCTTGAATCACGTCGATTATGTCGTCTGTAAAGTCTCCCTGAATGATTATTTCATCCTCTGCTGTCACTGAGGCACCACAAGAGAATTTCTGGGCAAAGAATCGCTGAGCCTCTTTGAGTTCAATGTCTGCAAGAGTCAACACAAGTCATATGTTAAGATTCAAGCAAAAAGAGAATCAGGCGATGTTGAGCAGGACAAAAACACAACAAATATCTTACCAAATGTTGCCATGCCGCACACTCTTGTGACATATTTCTTCTTGGCTCTTGGGATTTTTGCTATTGTGATTTTCTGAGGCATAGTCTTCTTTTTCTGTTTGATCTGGCCTCTTCCACCTTAAGAAGAGTAGAAACAAAATAGTTGTTCCTTTTGTTTGGCTTTAACTTATAAAACTCCACACAACCTGGGATGTTGAGTATAATCATAATAGAAAGCACAATAAACCAACAAAGCTACATATTAAAATCCTGAGCATAATAAAGTTAAGATTCTTAATCTTTTCACTAAGTTCAGGGAGGCTGTGGCGGCGGCGCAGTGGACTAGTGCGTTGGTGTTCGTGATCAGGGGAGCACAGGTTCAAACCCTACTGCAGTCAGCATGTCGTTGTGTCCCTGGGCAAGACCCTTCACCCCAAATTGCTCCAGTGGGGATTGCCCACAGTATTGAGTATGTCAGTCGCTTTGGATAAAAGCGTCTAACAAGTAACATGTAATGAAGTCAAACACAGTTTTTGATACTATAATATTCAAATTGTCTTCACGTGCTCAAGAACACAACAAAAAATGATGCATGCCAGGTAACCAAATCTAGCAGAACTGAACGAGGCAGGTTAATCATGAAAACTCTATGTATTGACACAAACACCCAATAAAAAGCCTAATAGAAAATGCCTCTGACATTATACCTCTCTTCTGTTTCTTTTTCTCCTCCTCCTCGCCTCCAGGGGGAGAGTCTCCAGTGCCAACTTCCTGCAGGGGAGCATTCGATGCCGGGCCTAAAGTGCAGAAGGACAATAGGAAGACATTAAAACCAATCCTGCAATAAAACCATATAGCTACACCTGAATATTCTAGTAAAAGGCTAGCCCGGCTGCTAAACATGGTAACCATAACAGTATGTTTTTTTTTTTTAAGTTTGACGTCAGTACAGCACTTAAGACGATAAGTGTATATATATTGCCCAGCTATAACGTGGTAAACACATATCACATCATGTGACGATTCCGAAATGTTGACATAATGTCCCCATCCACACTATTTAACAATGCATTAATAATGAATCCATCAAATCTATACTGCCCATATATTTTTTTCAGGTGACAACTTTTTAAGATTCAGCATGCAGACGTAGGGTGATTTAAAGAAAAACAATTTTGGTTCAAATCTGAAATGGCTCACTCACCTACTGTCATCCTGGCAAACACATCTGGGAAGTTCTTCTCAAGCCATTGCCTACATTTGGCTGGCTCGGGCATGTACTCACAGTACTGCAGACACAACAGTGTAGATTCAATAAGTTAGAGAATGACCTAAATATAGTTTCACTTCAAATTAAGACTGTATGCATGAACAAAAGTTATATATCCGTTTTTTGTTTGTGAATTCAAACTTACCTCTGTAGGCAGAGAGCACACTGCAAAGAAACAAAAAAAGAAAGACTGTCACATTTTGAAATCTTACATACAAACATCTTGTAAAGATAAAATAACAAAAGCCTTTATTGATCCCATTGGGTAAAATTCAGATGTGGTAGCAGCACAAAGACAGGAAACAGTACTGATGGAAAGAGAAGTAAAAATAACACAATAACAGATTTAAACAACTAAAATAAAAACATAAGGATGCAAAAGAAATTGAAGTAGCAAGCATAAGGCAAGAATAATAACACTAGTAGTGTTTATTGTAGATGGGGCCCCTATAAGCCTCGCAATTCTGCCACCAGGTAGATCTCCCAGGGTAAATGAAAGCTCTTTTTAAATGGCATAAAGGAAAAGTTTCATCCTCTGGGTGTACAGAACCACAAGAGAATAGCTCCTTTGTAGCTACTGCAGTATCCCCAGTCACCAAAGAGTATCACTATAACCTCTTAGCAGTCCACAGTAATGGAAATGGCAGAACAACTGAAGTAACTTTCATATACAAAATGCAATGTGACGTAGTCTTTATGAGAGTGGCTCTGACAATAATGCCATTTGGAAATGCTCTGGGGGACAGGGTAGTCTATTGCCCCTTGAAAGACAACATTTAATAGGCATATGACATGGTGTGCTTGGTAGTGACTGTAGTAAATATGTAAACAGTGTACCCCAGAATAATATATATTGTGAATAAGTAATTCTACTGAAAGCAATCTGTATTAATATAGAATGTATTTAAATAGAGTATGTAATTTAGCAAGAAGGTAAAACATAATATAGTATGATATCATATAGTGTGGTAAAGTATAGTATGGGAATAAGACAAACTGAGTAAAACGTTATATACTGTACCTCCACAGTAAAGAACTTTCAGTGGATATTTTGAATTAGAACTATAAGTATAATCTGGTTTGCTTTCCAAAGAACCGGATTCCATCTCAGTAGTAGCCATCACAACGTATCTGGATAGAAGACAGAAATGGAGAAAACATAAAATAAACAAGGAAAATATAAATCTTGGTGTGAATCAGACTATAAAATAAAGTTTTCACTCTTCATTCAAACCCAACAACAAGTGATAAAATGTGTTATCAGACTCTGCTGTAGGCAGTAGTTAAATGTAACTAAGGAGTACACAAGTACAATGTTGAGGTACTTGTACTACTACTTTACATTATTAATTATATCTATTGCTACATTAAACATTTCACTGGCGAATATTGAACTTTTGACTCCTACATTTAACTGATTACTATAGTTAATAGTTATGATACAGATTCAGAATAATACAACATAAACAAATATATTATGACGTATTATTAAAGAGTAAATAGAGTAGTGAAACTCCATCTTTGCCAGCTTAGACATTAAAGACGCTTACATATAAATGCATAAACAATTACATTCGTATAGAATAATATTTTGCAGAATGATTTATTCTACTTTTGGCACTTTAGCTACATGTTGATGCCAACACTAGTATACCTAGAATTAAGGTAAAATCGGAATGCATGATATTTCCCTTCAAACTGTATTATCACTATTGGATATTACTACCATATTTAAGTAAAATATATTTTCTGTTGGCACGAGTGAACAAGGCTCCTGCCAATATTTCATCATGCTAGCCTGCCCAAATCACAGATCAGTAACATGAGCAGCAGCAAGCTAGCCAACAGCATGACACAGGCGTATGTGAACTGAAATAGATGGCAGGTCAGTCACAAGGGGGCTAATTTAATACACAAAAATCAGCAGCGAAATAAATAGTAGGTTTGATAGCATCGTAGCAGTCATCAGAATTACTAGCGTTAGCTGGCTAACACATGCGGCTGATTTAATAAATACACCAATTAGCTAAACTACGTGTAAAGTATATTATTTACTTGTGCCGTGGACACTATGATCATATAGACAGACTGTACTTTTCTGTTAAAATATACGCTAATTTAGTTTGAGAGGTTTCATTCATCAGGTACCGTTGACTTACCCAGCTGTCACCGTCAGCACCAGTTTAATGGGGCTTTAGCTTAGCATGCTAAATGAGCTAACGCTAACTTGCCAGGTTCTGCTATTCAATAACATAATACAAATAAAAGATATGTCGAGTTACTTACCCTGTGAAATATCCTCTTAAAACTGATGTCTGTTCAGTAAATCCACTTGCATTATTAACGGTAGTTTGACTCTTAGAAAACCATTCTTATTGAATAAGGTGTAGTTGGCGTACTTTGAGCACGCCTAGTAGCGGTTCTTGTTTTTTTTAGTTGTTGAAGTGGCTGCTGGTTCGCAGCGTTGATGCGCCACAGCGCATCCTGGTGGCCGGAGGACGAATTTACTCAACTGTTTTTATAAAATGTCTAAACAAGTAAAATTAAAACGATTCCACTCCAAATAAAACTGTTCCAGTACAGTGTTTACTTTTATCATTAACGTTTTTAAATTAAGTGAAAATATTTAGTAAAAATACTGCGGGATGTACGTTGGCATGACGTAATCGTCGTTGTTTTCCCAGTTCGATCATTTACGTTCAAAAGTAAAAAGAAGCTAACGTTAGCTAGTTAGCAATTTCAGTTTTTTAGAGACACTTTTATATTCAACCAACGATACTTGAATACGTTTTGGAGATAAATGCTATAGAATATAAGCGTGTAACTTGTTTAGCCTATGTTGCTGACTATAAGTTAACTTTGGTCGTTCTATCGTTAGCCTTACTAACTTAAGCCAGCTGGCATGCTCCTCAGAAGATGCCCAGTACAAGCTCTACAACATCAATGAAGGTAACATAATACGAGTTGCTGAAATATTAGTGGATGTAACTGTTGTAGATGGACGAAGGGAAAGTAAATGGAAGAGCTTCAGCATGTTTCCCCTGGTCAAATGGTAAACAATAACTCTATCATTTTCTTTAGCAACAATAATCACATGTGTCTTTTATTCGAAATGAATGACAGGAAATGTCAATTATCCAACATCCACTTTAACTTGCAGATACTTCAGCTGAGCTCTGGCACAGCACACCAGTTAAAAAGGTGACATTTCTGTTGAATCCACTTAAGAAATAAATGCATTCTTATTGTCTGATTGTGATGTGTGTACGTGCTACTTTTCAGATAAATGGTGGTGATTCTCTGGATGCCATCCCACTCTCTGTCTCTAGCAGCTTCAAGATGGACAGCACAGCAAAACAGTGGGCCACACTAACACCTCCTATACCAGCAGCAGAGGTGGGAGAAGTACTCAGATCTTGTACTTGAGTAAAAGTAGGAGTACTAGAGTGTAGGAATATTCTGTTACTCAAGTAAAAGTACAAAAGTATAAGCATCAAATGTACTTAAAGTACCAATATAGATTATTTGTTTAGATTATAATTATTGATGCATTAATGTGTTTATCAAAGTTTGCAAAGGTGCAGTTAGGTTTAATTACTTTGTATACTGTAAGGTAGTTTGTGAATTGACTATAGCTGTAACTAAACTCTTATTTAAGTGTTGTTTATATTTCAAATCATTAATCCAAATCTGTAAAGTAACTAAAGGTACAAAATAAAATCTGAATTGTAGTGGAGTTGAAGTAAAAAGTAGCATAGAATTGAAATACTCAAGTAAAATACAATTATCTCAAATTGTACTTAAGTGCAGTACTTGAGTAAATCTACTTAGTTACTTTACACCTCTGACCAGCAGACACCCTCTGCCCACCCAGCTCACAGAAAACTGTAGTGAGATTTTTAGGAGCTGTGATTTGACTGTTTACAGTGTAGATTGTGCATTGTTACTCAGACACATACTCTAAAGTGGGCTTTATTATGGTGACATTAGCTTGATGTGTCTTCCTGTGTGCTTTTGGAAAAGTTTCCTGTGAATGACCCGAGTGGCTGCACCATCCAGAGGCAGAGGAGGGAGCTCCAGCTGCTGATGGCGGAGCTGAAGGACAGGGAAGGGGAGCTGAACACTATGGCTGCCTCCCATCAGAAGCATCTTCTTGCCTGGGAACAAGACCGGCAGAGGGTGCTCGCCTTGGAGCAAAGGTGTGCCCGTTTCGAAGGTGAGGACACAGAGATCTTCCTTGATTTAATACACATCCAGCCCTTGGTTGCTATTTCTGGCTTCAATGTTTTTGCATCAAAACTGCAAATTATGCTCAAGATAACACATTTCTCTGTTTATTTGTTGCAACTAAAAAACATTTTCATAATCAATTTCCCAGAGCCTGACTTCAAATTCCGTGTTTTATCCGACCAACCATTTCAAAATCAAAGCTCTTCAATTTAATATTATTTTTATCATCAAAATTGTTGCAAGTTGGTTTTGTTTCTAGTAACTTCATAAATCAGCCTCACATTCATTCTCAAGCCCAAGATGTGTTGATGCGACTGGTGGGTAGCCCCACATTATGAAAGTGATTTTTTGTTTTGTTTGTGCAGATGTGTTGCAGAAGCGTAACGAGGTGATCAGAGTCCTGACTAAGCGTGTGTGGGTGGTGGAAACCAGAGAGGAGGAGGTCCAGAAGGAGCTCAGCTTAGCCAAACAGAATCTCTGTGAGCAGCAGAACATCAGCCAAAAATATCAAGACTTTGAGGTACAAGTTATTTGCTAATACACACTTATATCCTCTATATAAACATCTGCTTACATCTTAAGGCAGACAAATAGCACCAGGATTGCTACCAATGCCATATATCAAATCTCCTTTATCAAAGTTATTATATTTCTGCCTTGGGACTTAGTATCTCTGCTTTTAGGTGTAATTGTATGTGGTTTCTCTTAGGAGAAGAACCAGAGTCTGAACTCCACTGTCATGGCTCTGTCCACTAAAGTAGGCTCTCTGCAGGTCAGGGAGGAAGAACTGAGCTCCATGCTCAAACTCAAGGTACAGTATATATAGTATTACAAAATGTTGTTTCCATGAATACTGATTATGATTAATTTAAATTGTATCAGTGTCTGATTTTTTTATGTTCTGCTAGTTGGTTAATATTATTTTTTCCCCACATCAGGAGAAAGATGTAGTTGAGGCCTCTGGTCATGTGGTGGACCTCACAGCGAGGCGAAGAGATCTGGAGACGTCGCTAACGGAGAGTTGCTCCCGAGAGAGCAAACTCCAGAGAGACTCAGAGGAAAACAAACGTCGCTGCAAAGAGGCCAGGCATGAGATCACACACCTTAAAGGTACATCAATACAAAAAACTGATGCTTTTATTTTTTGTTGATTGACTAATTCCTTAAGTGTCTCATAATTTCAGCTATTCATGTATTATTTGCCCCTGTGTTTGTAGAGGATCTGCAGCAGCAGGTCACACAGAGCAGCACTCAGAGGGAAGAGGTCATCCGTCTGAAGCAGGAGCTCCAGCTGCTGCACAGAGATGTGGCCTTGTCAGGTACAATAATCTGCAGCACTCCACATCCATCCTCTTCCTATCAATGATTCAAAGCTATTTATTTGGTAAAAATATTAAGATATATTGTCTTTGTCGTCTTAATCTGTTTCTGGATTTTATTTATCAATTTTCTGTTTTTATTTCTTAAGAATTTAAATCCATTGCACATTTGTTTTTATATTGCGATATTTATTGCTGTTATTTGACTGATAGCATTTTCTTTTTGATGTTACGTGTTTTCAGGTTCTTGAAATCTTGAAAAAATCATTATAATGAATTATTCAAGTGCTGTAGCTAAGAATTGTTTGTATTATCAATACATCTATTTATTACTTTTTCTTTTAATAATATAACAACAGTAAAAACATTATTCCTCACTGAGAAGCCGGAGTCATGAATATTTGATTTTTGAAATGATCAGAGATGAATAATGTCTGCACTAAACCATACAATAGTTTGTGGTACAGTGAAAAGCATACTTGAGATAATGTCAACCATGTTTGGTTTAAGAGTCAAGTGAGTTACAATGTTTATAATCCCGTTTTCCCTGCAGCCTACATATCTTGATTTTAATCTGTGCAGTAGCTGTGATAAACAAATGTTCATAATGTTAATGATAATTGCAGCACTTCATGTTTGTCACCAGGTGAGGGAGACAGATGGAGAGACGAGCTGCTGGAACTGGCTCGCTCCAAACAGGAACGCACCATGTCAGAGCTGCACTGCATACGGCAGGTACCACTTAGTTTAATAACTCAGGGGGCAGAGGGCATATATAAAGGTCATAGCCAACAATAACTCTCTCTTAACTTCACAATGTGGCTTCAAGATCAGTTATGAATGAACAAAATATACTTTTATAATTACCCTTGTTAGATCACAGATTAGGCAATGCTTCTTTCCACATACCTGCTCGTCAGACTTTTGTTGACGTCAGATGAGCCTTTCTGGTTTGGCAGCATACCTCCTGCAGTCTTTAGCTCTGGGTCAATGTCGGGTCCATAACATGTTCAAACCAATTCTTAGACTGTCACAAGAATTTAATGACTTCATCATGATGGAGCGCACGCTCCCACGGTCCTCAGTAGAGAGTCTGGCCTTTTCTGTGTCGACCCCCCATGGGCAGAGCTTCCCTTCGCGGGGAGTTTTGCGGCGGGACGGGTCACCAGAGAGTACCACGGCTTTATCGCTGGGGCCCCACAGCTGATTGCACATCCCCAGTTTATGGGGGAATTTGAAGCGCATCTGCGTGTTAACGGAGTGGGATGGACAAGACGCTGAGACTGGAGGTGTTTCTCAATCGCCGAGTAAAAGCTGTTTCCGAGCCCACTTATTTCAAGCATACACGTCATCGAGTGCCGCCGAAGTACTGTTCCATGTGTCCAGGGCATACTGGAAATTCACCGAGCCCGGCGTACTTCGGTTTGGAGACATTTCGAGGCTGCATATGTGTGGACTCCGCGGTCTAAATCCCCACAATGCTTTGCGCACGGGACCATTTCCCCATTCTGTGGCGGAACAATGTAAGGCGGGCTTCTCATGTGACGCACACCTGCACACTTGCTAGCCTGTTCCACTCTTTGTTTTCCAAATGCCAGGAAGTTATTCTTGCCTCGCTTCTGAAGCAAGACGCTCGGAAGAAATGTGCTACCAGGCCAAGCGTCTCGAGATTGAGAAAACACCCATGGTTATTCACTCCAGTTTTACAGCATCCCTTCTCCGCTCACAGGCATAAGAGAGGCAAAGCTATCATCCCGAGGGGATGGTTCAGGCCTTGGAGCAAAAACAGGGAGTGTCTGCTGTGCGGCACACAAGATCCCGTATCGTTTTAAGATTCGTAATCCTCGCCTTTAAGGCCAATCCATAACCTCACTGCAACCCCCTTGCGTTTAACCATGGGGTCTAGAGCCTTCAGGCGCTCTGCACCCCGACTCTGGACTCTCTCCCACCTGACATCCGCAACACTGACTCGCTCCCCATTTCAAATCACTCCTCAAAACTATATCTCTTCACACCTCGCCATAACCACCCTGATCATTATCCATCACCATCCTCCGTTTTTATTTATTTGGTTATTTTAATTGATTTATATACTGCATTGTCTTGTTTATGGTTTCTTCATGCTGGGTGTTATCTATGTGTATCTTGTTTTTTAGTGTGTTTGTACGGCGACCTTGAGAGCCTTGAAAGGCCGCCTTATATAAAATAAATGAATTATCTATTATTTACAAGACAGATGAGTGGGGCATTATTTCCTGTTCTCCCGGTTCAGGCCATTCTGGACCTTCGCCAGTCTGAGACTGGGACTGGTGCAGCCAGGTGATTGGTTCACAACCATCGGGACCTGAAGGACGCTTACTTTCATGTCGAGATTGCTCCAAAACACAGAAAGACAGGCAGAGGTGGATCTGTTCACCAGCGCGCAACAGCCACTGGGCCCCTGCCCACGAGCCATGGCCAAAGTAAGCTGCTTTACGCCTTTCCATCCGTTGTGTCTCTTCTCCCGCTCCTGGGGAGATGTGGAAGGCGAGAACATCTGTCAATCATCCTAGTAGCCCCGGATCGCGTTGGGGCACCGTGTACGTCGCAGATGGCACAGAATAAGGTGGGCCACCTGGGTGCTTCCCCAGTTTCTGGTGGCTAGTCTCAAGAAGTCTGGTTGAATCAGTGGTTACTGACTCAGCTCAACCTCTCCAGCTTGGTCCTGAGAGGTCACAGTCTAAGACAGAGGTGGCTTGTCTGACGAGATTATTCTCATATCCAGACATAGCTAGACGGGAATCCACCACAGCCTGTTAAAGGCCAAGATGGCTGGGATTCCAATATAATCAATAATAACAATTAATAAAGTACGGTCATAGTAGGCTTGTGGATGGAATAATGGCTAATCGGGATGGTCAATCGTTAGCCGGCAGGTGTGGAACTCAGTAGATAGAGTGTTTTGACCGGACGTGATCTTACATAGCTGGACTCGGACGTGAGTGGATTGGGGACAAGTTCGCGTGATGTCGAGGAGAGAGTCAGATGGGTGTGGACTTGGGTCTGACGATTGAAGTTAGGTATTGGTTCTCTCAGAGTGCGGTATGCGCATGGGCGTGAGCGTGTGATGGATGGTTTGAAGGAAGGAATTAGAACGATTCCACCACAGCCTAGAATACGTATAGAGAAGGGGACTCTTGTGTAGAGACGGGTGGACTCTGTTGTGGTTTTGATCCAAGCTGAATCGAGTGTCGTCGGAGGAAGTGGAATAGTTTGAACTTTAATATGTAAGACGCTCCGTGAGGAGAATAAGGGTATGTGTAGATGCTTGAGTAGTGTGATAACGATACTCGCGTAGTTGTTTGTCTCGGTAACTTATTCGAGTACGCCTATTATTGTCGGCTGGTCGAGGTAGCAAGTGATATCTTCGTGGCGTTCATTGTTTCAGAACATGGGGAAGTGTGCAAATAGAGGTGCTCAGGTCTTTGGAAGAATACTGCAGTAAGTGTAGCGAAGGATAGTTGTGTTGTGTGCGGTCGCGGCAATGAGAGTCGAGCCATTAATTTTCCTCGAAGAGAACCTTGGGAACTAAATTGTGTGTGGGGGGACGGTTTTTATAGGCGTACGATGGGTTGTTCCAGAAGCTATGAATGGTGCAAGGTTGAGCATGAATACTAATCATGTTAGTTGTGTATACTACACGCTATATGTGTGAGGGTGTGTAGTGAGNAGCTTGCCGGTGGGCGTGTCTGGCGCGCAGCCAACAACCAATCAAATTAATCTCCCACCCCGGACACACAAGCACACGGTTTGATAGGATAGCGCTTGTACTGGCATATGATTTGATTGGCTGGCGCTTCCGTAGACGCTTGAAAAGTTGAAACTTTTCTCAACTTTCAGTCGCGAGCAACGGAGGCAAAGTGAAGCTAACGGAACCACAATGCAGTTCGGTCAAGCTTGACGTCACCCATTCAAAGTGAATGGGAAGCGGTTACGTAACAGGGTTCGGCTCTCAGAGCTGCCAGCATTAACAGCTGCTACGCATTGTTGCCATCCAACAAATGTCCTTATAGTTGAAATGTGAGGGCTCTGGCTCTCCAACATAACGTATGTCTCTGGCCTCCCCAACAAGCATCTCCATTCACAGTCTAACCCCTAGTTTCCACCGGGTCCGCCTGCGGCGCGTTACGGCTGCGCCGCGGTTTTGGTCCGGCCTCCTCCGGCGTCATACCCTACCGGGCGCGTTTCACGAGCGTTTCAGAAGCATTACGGAAGCGGAGGGAGGCATGCCGGCTCGCAGTTCTTGTTGATTTGGGCATATTTCCTGGACATTTGTACTTCTACAAGAAAGTAAGTAGGCTACGTAGTTAAATGGTTTATTTTTGTGTCTGTTTAAAATCGTGTTTATTGTTGTTATTTCCTATTTTGTTGTGTTGTAGACTACAGACATAATTAATAATAATTGTAATAGTCCAGTTAAAAACAACATGAATCAAAGATGGGTTGCTGTATTTTAGTGGTAAAAAAAATTAATTCATCATAATAATTATTCTATATAATTTACACACAGTGCCCGTAAACCAAAGGAGAACGCTGGCCTTTATTCTCCTACTGGAAAGACTACAGAGGAGGGATGGGGGGAGGAGAAGGAACCTGTTTTGGGGGGTGGGCCGGATGCTGTCACAGTTCCACTTCCTGCCCGACATTACCTTACGGCTGCGTCGCGTCGATCGACTTCAATCCTATTTCGAGAGGAGCCCAGCGGCGAGACGCTTCTGAGCCGTAACGCGGCGTGTCTGGTGGAATAGCACCCATTGACTAGAGTGGCCGCGATCCTTGCGGACGCCGCGGCGCAGCCGCAACGCGCCCGTTACGCGTCGCACACCGACCCGGTGGAAACTAGGGGTAAGATATTCTCTTCTACATACTAATTATCTATGACATTTGTGAATATGATATAATATAAATATTTTGTGTACATTCAGGCTTCAAGGCTGCAAGAAATACATATTTGGTTTTAAAATCGTTCTCTATTTCAATCTACTTCATGAACTGCGTTACTCACTTAATCTAACGTGTTAATTGTGAGATCCACCAAAGTTCAGTTATTGTGTTATGTTTCTTAATATCGATGAATATCATTGTTGATGGACAACATTTAAAATGACCTCACTATTTGCATCCTAGAACTTTGATTTAATTCACAAGTTGTTGCATATAACATATCCAAGAGTGATCGCTATACTTCAGTTCCCCCAACCGAGTGTGTGCCCAGCAGGCAGCAGGATGTTCCTCAGGGAAACTCCTGCATCAGGAAGGAAGCAGCATATTTTAGGAGAGTGTGGACTGTAATTATTTTAAACCTCTGCAACCTAAACATCAAGAAAACCTCTAGCACCTATACATTATTAGCTGTTCATGTTCATTTCCTCTATTTAAAAAAACCTGCTTAAATCTTTGATATTATATACTGATTTCTGAGTGATGTCACTGTAAACTTCCAATACATACTGCAATACCCTACAACTTATAACAATTAATACAGTTTACTTTGAGTCACCAGGCTACCAGTTTGACATGTTTCAGGATATTGTATTTCACTGTTATTCCATTATATTTTGCTACACTATGTATGTCTTTAATATCTAAATTAAGGGATTTTTCTGTATGAGGCTTCTTCTTTTTTTTTAAACATATATCTGTAGATTAAATATGCAATAAGATATAAGATTGAAATGCCATTTTGAGGAGGAAGC